TTGGGAGGCCAAGGTAGGCGGATCAGGAGGGCAGGAGTTCAAGACCATCCTGACCAAAATGGAGAAACCCCATACCTGTAATCCCAGCTACTCGGGAGGCTGAGGCAGAGGAATCACTTGAATCCAGGAGGCAGAGGTTGCGGTGAGCCGAGATCGTGCCATTGCACTCCATCCTGGGTGAAAAGAGCAAAACTCCGTCTCACACACGCACACGCACACACACACAAAATAGCTGGGTGTGGTGGTGAGCGCCTGTAGTCCCAGATACTTGGGGAGCTGAGGTGGGAGGATCACTTGAGCCTGAGAGGTTGAGGCTGCAGTGAACCAAGATTGCACCACTGCACTTCGAAGCCTGAACAGAGTGAGACCCTGTTCAAAAACAAAAACAAAAAAACTCAAGGCCAGGCATGGTGGCTCTCGCCTCTTATTCCAGCACTTTGAGAGGCTGAGGCAGGTGGATCACCTGAGGTTTTGAGTTCAAGACCAGCCTGGCCAACATGGCAAAAACCCGTCTCTACTAAAAGTATAAAAATTAGCCAGGTGTGGTGGCAGGTGCCTGTAATCCCAGCTAATCAGGAAGCTGAGGCAGGAGAATCGCTTGAACCTGGGAGGCAGAGGTTGTAGTGAGCCAAGATCATGCCACTGCACTCCAGCCTAAGTGACAACAGTGAGACTCCGTCTAAAAAACCAAAAAACCTATGGCTCTCACATATTTCCTTTTCCAAATGAGGTCCTGAGTATCTGGGACTACAGGCACAAACTATAGCGCCTCGCTGATTTTTTTGTTTGTGTGTGTGTGTGTGTGTGGTTTTTTTTTTTTTTTTTTGTAAAGCATGAGTGTCTCACTATGTTGCCCAAGCTGATTTTGAACTCCTGGCTTCAAGCTATTCTCCTACTTCAGCCTCCCAAAGTCTTGGGATTACAGGTGTGAGCTGTCCTGCCTAATTTTGTCCAGCCTAATTTCTTTTTGTATTTTGGAGATGAGGTCTGGCTGTGGTGCCCATGCTGTTCCCAAACTCCTGGCCTCAAGCAATACCGTCACCTCAGCCTCCCAAGTAGCTGAGACTATAGCCACGAGCTGCCAAACCTTGCATCACACCCTGTCGCTCTCTTTTTTTTTGAGACACCATCTCCCTTTGTTGCCCCGGCTGGAGGGCAGCAGTGCAATGACAGCTTACTGCAACCTCCACCTCCTGGGCTCAAACAATCCTCCCACCTCAGCCTCCCAAGTAGCTGGGTCTACAGGCGTGTGCCACCATGCCTGGCTAATTTTTTAAAATTTTAGTAGAGATGGGTTTTCACCATGTGGCCCAGGGTGGTCTGGAACTCCTGACCTCAAAGAATCCATCTGCCTCAGCCTCCCAAAATGCTAGAATTACAGGTGTGAGCCACCACTCCTGGTACATCACACTCTATCCTCAGATTCAAGTGCCTCTGCCTGGCATCCAGTGTCTTCCAGGACCAGACCCCATCTCCCATGGTCTATCCCAGGCTTCCTGGTCAGCTCAGAGTTCCGAGAACATGAAATCTCCAGGCCTTTCACTTGGGATGTCCTCCACAGCTTGATTATCTGACTGGCGATCCTTTAAAGACTTGCTTTACTTGGGCCGGGCCCAGTGGCTCATGCCTGTAATTCCAGCACTTTGGGAGGCCGAGGTGGGCGGATCATGAGGTCAGGAGATTGAGACCATCCTGGCTAACACGGTGAAGCCCTGTCTCTACTAAAAATACAAAAAATTAGCCGGGCATGGTGGCGGACGCCTGTAATCCCAGCTACTCGGGAGGCTGAGCTTGCAAGTGAGCTGAGATCGTGCCACTGCAGTCCAGCCTGGGTGACAGAGTGAGACTCTTGTCTCAAAAAAAAAAAAAAAAGACTTGCTTTACTTTTCTTCCTTCAATGCTTGTTCCTCTTCCTTGTCACAATAACACAGTCTATAACATCAATAACCCAGTATGTAACATCATCCACAAGAAACAATCATAATAGACGGTGTCTACATTCATTGAGTGATAATTACATGCCACACTTTCTAAGCATTTTATTTGACATCCCTCCCATTGGAGGTGGAGTCTATGATGCCTCTCCTTGAATATGAGCTGGCTTCAGTGACTCCCTATAGTGAATAGAGATGTCACACTGTGTTAATTCCAAAGTTAAGTCATCAAAACTGAACTCCCACTTGGCTTGCTCTCTTGGGACATTTCCCTTAGATCGTAGCTGCCATGTTGAGAGGAAGCCCAAGCCACAGAGGGGCCATGTGCAGATATTCTGGCAAATAGCCCCAGCAGAAGTTGAAGACAACAGCCAATGCCAACTAGCAGATATGTGAGCGAGGAAGACTTCAACGTGATTCCAGCCCCAGCCACTGTCTGCAAGTACGTGACAGATCTTCAGGAAGAACTGCCAGGCTGGACTGAGTCAAACCCCAGAACCATGAAAGATAGGGACTTTGTTTTTTTTTTTGAGATGGAGTCTCGCTCTGTCACCCAGGAGGCTGGAGTGTTATGGCGTGATCTTGGCTCACCGCAACCTCTGCTTCCTGGGTTCAAGCGATTCTCCTGCCTCAGCCTCCTGAGTAGCTGGGATTACAGGCATGCACCACCACCACACCCGGCTAATTTTCTGTATTTTTAGTATAGGTGGTGTTTCACCATGTTGATCAGGCTGGTCTTGAACTCCTGACCTCGTGATTCACCTGCCTCGGCCTCCAAAAGTGCTGGGGTTTTTTTTGTTTTGTTTTTGAGACGGAGTCTGGCTCTGTTACCCAGGGTGGGGTGCAGTGGCATGATCTCGGCTCACTGCAACCTCTGCTTCCCGGGTTCAAGTGATTCTCCATCCTCAGCCTCCTTAGTAGCTGGGACTACAGGTGCCCGCCACCACGCTCGGCTAATTTTTTATATTTTTAGTAGAGATGGGCTTTCACCATGTTAGCCAGGATGGTCTTGATCTCCTGGCCTTGTGATCCGCCCGCCTTGGCCTCCCAAAGTGCTGGACTTACAGGCATGAGCCACCGTGCCCAGGCTAGTGACTATTTTTTATCATCACTATATTGGAGTTGCTTGGTATGCAGTGTTAGATAAGCAGAAAAACTTGCACTAACTCACTGAATTCTTTCTCAATTCTGTGAAAGGAACTCATTTCCATTTTATTTTATTTATTTTATTTTAATTTTTCTTTTTGAGACAAGGTCTCACTCTCTCACCCAGGCTGTAGTGCAGTGGTACTATCTCAGGTCACCACAACCTCCATCTCCTGGGTTCAAGTGATTATCCCACCTCGGCCTCCCAAGAAACTGGGATTACAGGCATGTGCCACCACGCCTGGCTAATTTTTGTATCTTTGGTAGAGATGGATTTTCGCTATGTTGGCCGGGCTGGTCTTGAACTCCTGGACTCAAGTGAATGCACTGCCTGCCTCAGCCTCCCAAAGTGCTGGGATTACAGGCATGAGACACCATGCCCAGCCCACATTCCCATTTTAAAGATGAAGAAATTGAGGCTCAAGCTGGGCAATGTGTGAAACGGAAGTTACAGCGTAAGTAAGTGGTAGAGCTGGGTTGTGAACACAGGTGGACACTACACAGGGTCATTGTCACCAAACTCTGTAGTCTGTATATGTATAATATGGGGTCTTGGACAGGCATGGTGACTCATGTCTGTAATCCCAGCACTTTGAGAGGCCGAGGTGGGTGGATCACCAAAGTCAGGAATTTGAGACCAGCCTGGCCAACATGGCGAAACCCCATCTGTACTAAAAATACAAAAATTAGCCATATGTGGTGGTGTGTGCCTGCAATCCCAGCTACTCTGGAGGCTGAGGTACGAGAATCACTTGAACCCAGGAGGCTGAGGTTGCAGTTTGCCAAGATTGCACCACTACACTTCAGCTTGGGAGACAAAGCTAGACTCGGTCTCAAAAAAAGAAAAAAGGCGTGGCGTGGTGGCTCATGCGTGCAGTCTTAGCACTTTGGGAGGCCGAGGTGGGTTGATCACCTGAAGTCAAGAATTTGAGACCATCCTGACCAACATGGTGAAATCCCATCTCTACTAAAAATACAAAAAATTAGCCGGGCTTGGTGGCAGGCACCTGTAATCCCAGCTACTAGGGAGGCTGAGGCAGGAGAATTACTGGAACCTGGCAGGTGGAGGTTGCAGTGAGCTGAGATCCTGCCATTGCACTCCAGCCTGGGCAACAAGAGCGAAACTCTGTCTCAAAAAAAAAAAAAAAAAAAAAAAAAAAATTGGGGTCTGGCTTTTGCCCAGGCTGCAGTACAGTGGCAGGATTATAGCTTACTGCAGCCTCGAATTCCTGGGGTCAAGTGATCTTCTTACCTCAGCCTCCCAAGTAGTTGGGAGTTCAGCACATACTACCATGGCCAGTTTGGTATTCTGTGTCTGCATGTCTTATTATTTTTTATTTGAGACAGGCTCTCACTGTGTCACCTAGGCTGGAGTACAGTGGTGTGATCATGGCTCACTGCACCCCTGAACTGAGCTCAAGCGATCTTCCTGCCTCAGCCTGCTGAGCAGGTAGGAATACAGGCACGCACCACTACACTGGGCCAATTTAAAATTTTGTGTTTTTTTGGTAGAGACAGGTTCTCACTGTATTGCCAAGCCTGGCCTTGAACTCCTGGGCTCAAGCAATGCAACCACCTTGGCCTGTGAAATTGCTGGGATTACAGGCACGAGCCTCTGCACCCGGCCTTGAAGTGTGTCTTGAGGCCTATATAAGTTAGGCAGCTTTTTGGGAGCCCTGGTGGCACACAGTGGGAAGGAACCCCTCCTGCCCTTGTCAGCCCCTGTTCTGACCCCCTCTGCATTTCCAACACCTGGGTGTTCCAAGTTATGTTGACTGCTCTAGGGCACAGGCCATCCATCATTTACACTGTAGTATGAATCAGTCACTACTTCTAGGATCTGAGGATTAGACGTGAGACATCTGTTACTTTCTGGCAATTCTCCTTCCCACTTATTTCCCCAAGAAGCAGCCACACACATCACATGCTCTAGCTGGCGACTTTATTCAAAGGGGAGAGGGAAAAGTGAGAGAGAGAGTTGGGTCATTTCTGGGATAACCTGGAGAGGGGTGAGTCTCTGGAGTTCCAGGGAGGAGGGACAGACATCTCAAAACTATTATAGAAGCCCGAGAGGGCGAGGGGTGGGGTTCTGGGTGTTCTGAGGGGCAGGGCTGGGGGAAGGGACCCTCCCCCAACTCGGGGCCACGCGTCCGCTAGGGGCCGCTGCCGCTTCCACTGCCACTCCCGCTGCCCGCAGCGTCCAGGATGGAGGTGCGAGGGCGGCGGGTACGCCAGGAGGGAGCTTCCCGGGCCCGCCGTCCTGGTCTGGGACGAGGTAGTGCGGAGATGGAGATATTGAAGCAGTGACGGGCTCCAGGAGCGGCCACCGGTAGGGCGTGGCCCAGAGCCGAGCGACAAAGGTCCGTCCCGTCTGCGAAGGTCTAGAAAAAAGTGGAGTTAGGGCCGTAGTGTGCGCAGTCCAGAGCGGGCAGGGCTTTCTCCCAGGGGCGCGGCCTCGGGAAGGGAAAGTCTGTAAGTTCCTTTGGGATTGGGGTCAGAGGCGGAGTGTGCAGTTTGGGAGTCTGTGTGCAGGACCAGAGTGGTGGCAGGTCCTTGGGGAGTGTGAATGTTCTTACTGGGCCCTAGCGGGATGAATCAGGGTTGGGGCAGTCGGGGGGCGCGCAGAGAGGTCTGTATCAAGGCTGGGGTTTTGTAGAGGGTGACTGGGCTTCTGAGTCCTCCATGGTGAACTGTGGATGGACCCAGAGCAGGGATGGTTTCTTGGGAAGGGCAAATCTGGACTTAGAGAGCTTTTGGGGTCAAAGGGCGCAACCCAATAGGAGGCTGGGCTAGGGAAGGGTTGGAGTAGGGTCCTGGGGAGTGCCAATCCGGTCTCTGAGGTCTAGACACGGTAAGAAAGAACTTGGTGGGGGTCAGGGGCAGTGGCTCACGCCTGTAATCCCAGCACTTTGGGAGGCCGAGGCGGGTGGATCACCTGAGGTCAGGAGTTCGAGACCAGTATGGCCAACATGGTGAAACCCTACTCTACTAAAAATACAAAAATTAGCTGAGCATGGTGGCGAATGCCTGTAATCCCAGTTACTCGGGAGGCTGAGGCAGGCGAATCCCTTGAACCTGGGAGGCAGAGGTTGCAGCGAGCAGAGATTGTGCCACTGCATTCCAGCCTGGGCAACAAGAATGAAACTCTGTCTCAGAAAAAAAATAAATAAAGAACTTGGTAGGGAGGATCTCAGTCTCTTCTCTTCACCTTCTGCCTCACGCTCACCTGTCCATAGGTAAGGCAGCTAGGCTCACAGCCCCTTTTTTCTGAGAGTGGGAGCCAAGTCGGGCCACAAGTGATATCATCTTCGCAGTTGGCGAACCTGGAGATGGTGAGTGGAGAGGTGGGTAAAGCTTTTGTAGCTACATGCCAGCGGGATTCCAGTTCTTCTAGACTGTGTTCAGTATGTGTCCCCCGCTGGGATCCAGACCCCGCCTCTTAGAACCACTCTCCTGCTAACTCCATCTCTCCAGATTTCATCCCACCCCATATTCTATCAGATCTTTCCATACTCTGGGCCATGTCACAACTGGCCTCGTCCCTGCAGACCTCAGACCATTTGTTACGGGCCAGTCCCTCATATTTTCCCACTCTTTCATTTTCCTTTTATTTATTTTTGAGACAGGGTCTTGTTCTGTGACTCAAACTGGAATGCAGTGGCGCAATCATGGCTTATGGCAGCTTTGACCTCCCGGGCTCGAGCAATCCTTCCACCTTAGTGTCTCAAGTACCTGGTACTATAGGCACGCACCATCATGTCCGATTAATACTTTCTTTTTTTTTGTTTTTTGAGATGGAGTCCTGCTCTGTCTCCTGGGCTGAAGTGCAGTGGCCCAATCTCTGCACACTGCAATTTCTGCCTCCCAGGTTCAAACAGTTCTGCCTCAGCCTCCCGAGTAGGTGGGATTACAGGCGCCCACCACCACGCCTGGCTCTTTTTTGTGTTTTTAGTAGAGACAGTGTTGTTGGCCAGTCTTGTCTCAAACTCCTGACCTCAGGGGATCCGCCCACCTTGGCCTCCCAAAGTTCTGGGATTACATGCGTGAGCCACTGCATCTGGCCCATGTCTGATTAATTTTTAAATTTTTTGTTGAGACTGGGTCTTGCTATGTTGTCCAGGCTGATCTTGAACTCCTGGCCTCAACCAATCCTCCTATCTTGACCTCTCAAATGACGGAGATTACAGGCGCCCTCCCTTTTACCTTCTCTTTTCAATCAGGAGGACTCACTCCTTAAGAAATCTCAGGGCCTGGCTGGGGATGGTGACTCACCCCTGTAATCCTAGCACTTTGGGAGGCCAAGACAGGCAGATCACCTGAGGTCAGGAGTTAGAGACCAGCTTGGCCAACATGGTGAAACACCGTCTCTACTAAAAATACAAAACTTAGCCAGACGTGGTGACGGAAGCATGAAATCCCAGCTACTAGGGATGCTGAGGCAGGAGAATCACTTGAACCCAGGAGGCTGAGGTTGCAGTGAGCCGAGATCATGTCACTGCACTCCAGCCTGGGCAACAAGAGCAAAACTCTATCTTAAAAAAAAAGAAAAAAAGGCCGGGTGCGGTGGCTCACACCTGTAATCCCAGCACTTTGGGAGGCTGAGGCAGGAGGATCATGAGGTCAGGAGTTCGAGACCAGCCTGACCAACATAGTGAAACCCCGTCTCTACTAAAAATACAAAAATTAGCCAGGCGTGGTGGTGTGCGCCTGTAATCCCAGCTACTCAGGAGGCTGAGGCAGGAGAATCGCTTGAACCTGGGAAGTGGAGGTTGCAGTGAGCCGAGATTGCACCACTGCACTCCAGCCTAGGGGACAGAGTGAGACTCCATCTCAAAAAAAAAAAAAAAAGAAAAGAAAAGAAAAAAAAAAGAAATCTCAGGGCTATGAAAAGCCACATTGCCATATGGCAGGTATCTTAAAAACTGGGGGCTTCTACCTGGGCTCTAAACATTAAGCTGCATCTCTTAAACCTTGGCCTTGTTGGAGGCCACTCCCCTTTACACAGAAGGCCAAGCGAACTGCAGGCTCCGCCGTCTCCCCCGCCCAAGTCACAAGCCACGCCCCTTGCCCCCGTGTGTCCTACCAGGCCTGGCAGAGCTCCTCACAGAGCGGCTGTGCGTGGCGTACCCCCAATAGCCGCAGGCGAAAGCGACTGCGAAGGGCACGTTGGAGGTGTTCCAGGAAGGATTCACACCTAGACATCGGGAGAGAGAGGGTTGGATGGGTTAGGACCCGAGGGGAGTTCCAGGGCAATGGGCAAAGTATGCGAGAAAACAGTGGAGGGTGCTGTACTCACTCAGGGCTCGGCACTCCACAGCGTTCTGGATGGTTCCCAGGGCCCGATATCTCTGTTGCGTCCATCTCTGAGGGACAACAAGTTCCTGGCAAAGGGGAACCCTGTGAGCCAAGGTCTTGGATCCTCAGATAAGGTTTGGGAACTGAGGGCTGGGGATCCCCTGGACAAGGGAGACCCCAATTACATCAATCCTCACAAACCCATAACTTAAGACCCTTCCTTTGGAATGCAAATGCAGCTTCAAGTAGTAATGATCATTTATTTTGTTTATAATAATCAACTTATTTGTCATGTGCCTGGTAGTGACACATGTGCTTAATCCTTTTCCTTTATTTTTCTTTCTTTCTTTTGAAACAGGGTCTTGTTCTGTCGCCCAGTCTGGAGTGCAGTGGCATGATCTTGGCTCACTGCAACCTCCACCTCCCAGGTTCAAGCAATTCTGGTGCCTCAGCCTCCCAAGTAGCTGGGATTTCAGGCGCATGCCACCTCATCCAGCTAATTTTTGTATTGTTAGTAGAGACGGGGTTTCACCATGTTGGCCAGGTTGGTCTCAAACTCCTGACCTCAAGTGATCTGCCCACCTCGGCCTCCCAAAGTGTTGGGATTACATACGTGAGCCACCGAACCCCGCTCATATGCTCATATGCTTAATCTTAACAACAGCTTTGTGAGGTATGTTTGTTATTTCTCTCTTTTTGGGGGTCCATGTGAGACCCAGAGAGGTTAGATGACTTCCTCAGGGTCACATAGTTACAAAGTGACAGAGCTGAATTTGAACCCAGTCAGTCTAATTCTTATCCACCATTCTTCAGCACTATCCCTGCCTCCCACCTTCGTGGCCCTGCTAGGCCCCTCTCATAAGGAAATTCTAACATTGCCATGGCAGGGTAGGTGTGGGTTTCTGGGTGTTGGTGGTGAGGCAGGGTCTGGGGTGCTCACCTGCCAAGTGCAGCTTGCCTTTGCCCAGATCAGCTGCCAGCCCATGGTGTCGCTGGGACCTGGCTTGGAGTGGGTGGCTCCCTCCACAGGCTTCTAACAGGATCCATGCCAGGGTCAGTTGTAGGACCCAGGTCAGGCCAATGGGTCGCATGTGGACCCTGCAGGCCATGTCCACCTGAGATAAGAGCTGGCAGGCATAGTGTGGGGTTCAGCCATCCCTTTCTGTGAGCTTAGGGTGGCACCCACCCAATGCATACCCAAGAAGCAGTGCCAGACAGAGTAGGGAAAGTGCAGCTGAGGAGGAGGCTGGGGCAGTGGCCAAGGATATTCAAATCCCAGGAGACCACCAGGGCCTGCCTCCGTCCTAGGAACCCCCCTCCCATCAGAACCCTGACCTCTCTGTCCCCCATCAAGTGCCACCCCCACCAAGCTTAGACCATAGTCGCCCTCCCCCATCCAGCAGGATCTCCCACCTTTTTAGTCCTCAAGGGACTCCTTTTTTTCTCAGAATGAAGGGGACCTCCCTAGCTCTTCCAATCCCCCTCTACTGTTCAGTAATTCCTCCTTCTCTTCTATGCGGCCTCCCTCCTCCCTCTCTCACTCTCTGCCGGCCCTTCTCTGGGTCACCTTCTCTCGGCCCACAATCGGCTTAGGGGCCACCCAGAGCTGGGCCTTTGGGACCAAGCGTGGTGTGGCAGGGCTCAGGTTCTGTCACTGGGGCCCAAAACTACAAGGCAGGGACAGCTAGCCGTCTATGGAGACAAGACTGTCCCCTTCCTGCCTCCCCGAGTTCAGCCCCTCACCTGTTAGCTGGATTGGGGTGTAGAGGCTGATAAGACACCTCAGGATCCACTCCAGGAAACTGGCAACTGAAAGGGGCATGGCTTAATGCAGGGGCGGGACCTCCCACCGTCCCGCCCACACTCCTGCTGACCAAAGGCTGGCCAACTTGGGCTGGTGTGTATATATCCTTGTGTTTGCTTTTATGTTGAGCTTGTGGCTTAAGCTGTGGTATCTGTATATGAGGGGAGTGCGTGTGTGTGTGTGAGGAAGGTGTGTTTGGCCTGCAAATTCACACACATACAAACACATACTCAGCAAATGCAAACACATGCAAACATCCACAAATACAGATACACACAAACTCACACTCTGCAGCCATACAAACACATGCTTAGGAAACACAGACATACACACACTCATCCAATGTAAACACACACAAACAACACATATAAACACTCAACCAGTGTCAACCAGTTCAGAACTTCAACAACTTCTGAAGTTTCTGCGAATGTGTGTTGCTTGTGAACACTCCCTTAACTCATCCATTCATTCGACAAACATTTATTGAGCACCTACTGTGTGTTAGATTCTGGGGATGCAGCAGTGAACAATACATGAAAATTTCAGCCAGGCATGGTGGTTCACACCTGTAATCCCAGCACATTGGGAAACCGAAGTAGAAGGATTGTTTGAGCCCAGGAGTTTGAGACCAGCCTGGCCAACATGGTGAAACCCCATCTCTAGTAAAAATAATTTAAAAAAAAATTAGTTGGGCATAGTGGCACATGCTTATAATCTCAGCTGTTCAGAAGGTTGAGGCATGAATATAGTTTGAACTTGGGAAGCAGAGGTTGCGGTGAATCAAGATTGTTCCACTGCACTCCAGCCTAGGCAACAGAGTGAGACTCTGTCTCAAAATAAATAAATAAATAAATAAATAAAAATAAAAGACACACAAATCTCAACTTTCATAGAGCTGACATTCTAGGGGGAGAATCGGATGAGAAAAACATCCCTGCAGTGGGTACGGGTGTGTGTGTCTATGTGTTGTGTTGGGAGAATAATTTGTTTTAGATTATAATTTGTGTGCAACTGGACATCCCTTGGTTTTGGAAATATGTGGCTGTGCTTCCACTGGTTGTGTGTTTATATGTGTTGTTTGTGTGTGTTTGCATTGGATGAGTGTGTGTATGTCTGTGTTTCCTAAGTATGTGTTTGTATGGCTGCAGAGTGTGAGTTTGTGTGTATCTGTATTTGTGGATGTTTGCATGTGTTTGCATTTGCTGAGTATGTGTTTGTATGTGTGTTAATTTGCAGAATGTGTGGGTCTGTGTTTGTGGAGTATATGTTTGCAGAGTGTGTTCTAATAAGTGTTTGCGTGTCTGTGTTTCCTGAATATGTGACTGTATGTAAGTGTTTGTGTGCCTCTCATCTCAGGGCAAGAGAGGCTTTTTGTCTGCCTCTTTTATCGCTGTATTCCCTCCCAGATCCCAAAATACTACATTGCACATAGTAGGTGCTCAATATGTGGTAAGTGAACAAATCAGTAGATACTATCTCTGGGTCCCTCTGTGTGCACCCAGTGATGTGCTGGAGGCCTCAGTAAGCAAGATCTGCCGGACCTAGCCTTCTCCTGGTCCATCTTGAGGTGGTCCCAGATGTTTGTGGGTCAGATCTGTTCAGTCTCTGGGCCATGCCTCACGCCAGAGCCTCCACACCCTTTGTCCTTCCCTAATCTCAGCCCCCGACCCTGCGCTTGGATTTCAGCACCGTGGACAGGAGCGCGCGAGACCAGCACCAAGGAGAGCTCCCGCGGTCGTCATCGTGAGCTAGGTCGCCAGGGGCGGAGTCCGGGCCATGGACGGAGAGATGTGCGAGCAAGGGACTCAGCGAGACGGTGACACAAACATGCCGACAAACATATAGAGACACAGACAGATATAACCCAGGCAAAGGCGCGAACTTGAGGCGACAAGCTCCTGGGGAAAACCCGGACCCAGCCTCGCCGTCGTCCAGCAGGGGTCGCTCTTACCCAGCAACCGCGCCCTCCCGGACCTTGGGGCCAGATACTGGCCACCACCCCTTGGGAAGCCCTTCTGTCCCCCAGTGCCAAGACTTGGAGTTCGGAGGGCTTGGACACCCTCCTCTCCAACTTCGGGAAGCATGGTGGATTTGGCCTCACCTGTGTGAACATGGAGGAGAGTCGAGGGAGCTGAAAAGCGCTTTAACTGCCCCCCTCTCCAACTACCAGCTAATCGCTCCTATAAATACAGACGGCCTGGCCTGGCTCCTTAATCCAGACCATGAGGGAGGGGTCGCTAGAGGGGCTGCAGGGTTCCCTGAGGAGGCTCTGATTGCGGGGGGCGGGGGGCGTAATATGCAGGCACATGTTTTTCTGAGGTTGCCTCTCCTGTGAAGATGGGTCTCCTCAGTGAAAATGTTTCTCTGTAAGCATGACATCTCCCCTGGGGCTGTAGAGGTCTCATGGGTGGGGACAGTTTTCCACAGAGGATACGGCTTTTAGGGGTCTCTGATTGGAAGTATCCTCCCCAGGGTCTCCACGGGAATTGTTACTCCTGGGATCTTTCTCTTTGGGGAATGCCTCTTCCGTGGGGAGGAGGATGGCTTTTGAGAGGAAAGTCACCTCTCAGGGACCATATCTCTTAGGAATGATTTTCAGGGTTGGGGGAGTTCTTGATTGGAGAGGGCGTCCATGTGGAAACTATCTCCCCCGGGAAATGTGTCTCACCAAGGGGGTCTCTGGGGGATGAATGTGGGGGGAATGTATCTCAGGGAGAAGGCTTCCTTTGGGGTGTTTCTTAAGTGGGGGTTCTACCCCTGAGAATGTCTCTCCCCTGGGGTGTGTCTTTTTATAGGGGTCTCTCGGCAGCTTGGCTCCCATGGGGGCACCAGGAGGCTCCGCCTCCCCGCCCACCCCTTCCCCCCCCCAGCGCGGGCAGCGGTGGCTGAGCTCTGGCTCGGGTGCCCAGACGCAGTGACGGCGCCGGGCCCGCCCCACTTCGCTCCGCCCCCTCCACCCCCCCCCCCAACCACCCCGCCGCCGCCGCCGCCGCCGCCGCGGTCCCCGCGGCTTCTCACTCCCTCCCTCCTCCCTCCTCCCGCCGCCGCTGCCTCCCTCCTCCCTCCCCGGGCCGAAGTCGCCGCCGCTGCCGCCATGGACGATTCGGGCCTCATCCGCCGCCGGAGGCTGCAGGTACGCGGCTGCCTGGGCCCCGGGTGGAGAGGAAGGGGTCAGCGCCCTGGGGCGGGGCCGGGCAGGAGGCGGGCGAACTTGCACCAGGGTCGGCCGGGACTCCCCCACCCATGGGCTCGGGACGCTAACCGCAGGGAACGCTGTGGCCGCGCGTCCCGCCGCGCTGGGGACCCCGCCCCTCAGGCGCCGCCCGGCGATCCAGGGAGCTGCCGGAGGGGTGCAGCCTAGCGCTCCCCCTCGAGGATCGCCTGATGGGCGCTTGGCCCGCCCTAGGGGGAGGGGGCTGGGGCCGAAGTCATCGTCCTGGCGCCTCGCCAGGCTGGGGGTGAGGGGGCGCAGAGCAAAGTTATTACCCTAGGGCTCGTGCCCCTCAGGGCCATCGGCGCCGCTGGAGGCGTAAACATGTTTGTGCAGCAGCCTCGCCCCTCACCACCCCAGGAGCCCCCTCCCGAGGCATAGGACGCCCTGCGTCCCCCACGCACCTGCCTGGCCACCAGGATTCTTCCTACTGCCCTAATTGGACAGGCACCTAGACAGCTTTCTCACTCTTCATTCCACCTCCTCCACTACAACATCCGCCCCCCCACCGCGATCCTCAAGTCCAGCCCAGCTTGTGGGTGGGCGGGAGCGATTTTTAGCTCCTTGCAGCCTTAGAAGATGCTGGTCTCGAGGCTGCGCAGGCGCAGGAGGCGTGCGTCCACTGCACGGAGTGGGACACTGAGGATCGCTGTGGAGTGTGGGGAAGGTGGGGACAAACTCAGGTGTCGGGAGCTCCTACCTCCAAGGTGGGGAGGGATTCTGTAGCCGAGAAGCGTCCTCTGCTCGTCTTCAGCTGCGTTTCTGAGGGGTTAGTAGGGAAGTTCAGGGTTAACACAGAGGTTCGGTCCCAAACATTCCAGAGAGGAAGGTGATGATATCTGTGCCCCAAGGCCCTGCCTGGGGTCTGGCCCTTCTGAGCCTCCTTGGAGCTCAGCCCCAGGCTTGGTAATCTGGAGTTTAGATAAAGCCAAGAATCGGCCCAGACTCAGGCTCCATCCCCAGCCTGAATCTTGGGAAAAGAGGATTCAAACCCTCACCTAGGGCTTCGTCCATTTCTAGACTCCCCTAATCCATCATTCCCGAGGTTGAAGACCAAGGGGAGCTGATCGGTCAGTGCAGCAGGAAAAATGGTGATCAGACTGCAGGAAGGACCTTCCAGGCGTCTGGATAACGCTGGAGCCAGACATGAGTTGGAAAACTAATTTGCTTTCAGAGCCCAGATGGCCCGCTCTCTGGAGCTTAGGCCTCTCTGAAGTGCTCCCCACATTCTCTCCCCCTCCCAGGGGTGGGTTAGGAGAGTGGGTTCCGGGAAAAGGGAGGCAGCTGCGGCAAAGTTAGAGCAAGTGCTGCAGCAGCCAGGCTGGGTTCGCGCCGTCGGGTCTCCGAGAAAAGGGAGGAAATAGGCGGGGTCTGCACTGTGTGTCCCCGCCCTCCGGGCCGGCGTCAACGCTCATTGGCTCGTCGCCACGCGGGACTTTAGACTCCCGCTCAAGACACCGCCCCCAACGCGGGATGCTTCCACTCACCCACCCACCCACTCAACCCGAGGCATGCTCTGGGTCTGGTGACCCATGTCGGAGTCCTGTCCCCACCGCTTTCCTTCTGGTGGGATTAACCACTTCGTTGCCTGGATACACCCACACACGTTGCTGCAACCTCTTAGGAACTGTCGCATCACTGCTGAGGGCCTGAGGGTCCCCTGTGTGCAGCTAGGCTCTAGTAGCTGGGATTACAGGCGCACGCCACCATGCCCGTCTAGTTTTGTATTTTTAGTAGACAGCGAGTTTCGCCATGTTGGCCAGGCTGGTTTTGAACTTCTGACCTCAGGTGATCCGCCCGCCTCGGCCTCCCAAAGTGCTGGAATTACAGGCGTGAGCCACCACGCCCTGGGATCTTATATATAGACAGCATCCTGAGTTCGAATGTCCTGTCTGCAGTGTCAACTATTAATCCCGTGCAGGAGAAGCGGAATCCACTTGGCAGAGCGGCTCTGCAGCTGAGGTTGGAGGTGGCGTCTATCTACACTGACCTCAAAGATCCGAACTTTCGCCGCTCCAGTTTGACCCTTTCTTCGTCCCTAGAATGTTTGGGGGCGCTAGCGGATGGGGCTGGGTTCAAGGTTTTCTTCGTGTTGTGCTTAAAAGCCCTCCAGGGGCTTACCCTCCAAGACTGGGTTATCCGGGTCTGGACCCCCCGGGCTCTGGGCCAGAAAATCCAGGTCTTGATTTCTCTTGGACCATTGCAGACGCGCAGCCAGGTCAACTGGTCCTGGCTGCGGCTCATTCACGCCGGTCGTGCAAAGACAGAGGGAAAACCTGGTTTGGATTACCGGTCACCCGTGGCTCGGGAGGGCAGGGCTGCCCTTTGGCACCGCTTATATGTTTGTCCATTGTACAAGGGGGTGGGACGACCCTCTGGCCCATCCTCTGTCATGCAGCATGTCCCTCCTTAATAACGCCTGTTCTCCGAACTTAGTATTCATTGAGCATTTGCTATATGCTAGGCACCACGCTAAGGGGCTAGGCATCTGCATCAACTCACAAAATCCTCAAGGAGACACGGGAGTAGTGGAAGGTCATTTGCCAAGGTCATAAAAGGCAAAATTGAGATTTGAAGCTAGGGTTTTCTGCTTTTAGAGATCCTAGAAATAGTCTAGAACATCCCTCATTTTCCTCTTGTTGGAGGTTTTGAAACTCTCCCCCAAACCTTTCCACCTGCAGCCCCACTGAGTTTTCTTCCTTCCACCTCACCCTGTGGATAGAAAACTGGCTGGAAGGTGCTGCCCCTTGTCCCGCATTCCTTTCCTCAGAAACGAGCCAAGACCCCATATCTCCTGATCCCTACAGAGACTTCCTGAGAGCTTGACAAACGGAAGGCGACCTTCTTCAAATGCAGACACATAAAGTTAATACCCACTAATTATTATTATTATTGTCATTATAAAAAATGACTACGTGGCCATCACCTGAATTTCCATTTTTATTTTTTTATTTTTAAAATTTTTTGTGTTTTTGTTTTTGTTTTTATTTTTGTTTTAATTGAGACCGTGTTTCACTCCAGCAGTGGTGTAATCACAGTTCACTATAATCTCGACCTCCTGAGCTCAAGTGACTCTCCCACCTTAGCCTTCCTGGTTCCCATTTTAAATCTCAGTTGTGAGTCACTCTACTTACCTACCCCCCACCCCCTACCCCAACTCTGTGACTCTAGCTGGGAGTCAGATCGATCTGTTGAGGTGTAGATGAGTCATTCATTCTTTCAACCTTTCATTCATTCAACCTTTCATTCATTCATTGAGCATGCCAAGCTTATTCCCGCCTCCAGGCCTTTGTCCTTGCAGTTCCCTCCACCTGGAATTCTCTCTCCACAGATCCTCCCATGGCTGGCTCTTATCTTTCAGCCACCAGCTTAAAAGTCACCTCCACAGAGCAGCCCTCTCTGACAATGTGTCTCTATCCCAGCCATTGTCCATCATATCACCCTGTTTAATTTATTCATAAGACAAATTACTGTCTAAAATGATTTTGTTCACTTCTACACTAATCTTGTTTAGTGTCCCCTTTACCCTACAAATACTAGTCCCAAAAGGCCAGAAACTTTTTTTTCTCCTTGAGACAGAGAGTCTTGCTGTGTTGCCCAGGCTGGTGTTGCCCTGGACTCAAGCGATTCTCCTGCCTCAACCTCCCAAGTAGCTGGGACCAGAGGTGCACACCACCACACCGGGCTTGTAACTTATTCACTGCTGTGTCCCTAGTGCCTAGGATAGGGTCAGCATACAGTAGTGCTCAAGACATATTTTTCAAATAAAGATTCCTATTTCATTTGCACAAACACACACTGAGATGCCAACTCACTTGCCTTTATACGGGACCCCGCCTGTGTACTTGGGTCTCTGTTGGTCTCTGAGGGTCAGGAGAGGAATCACCCGGGGATCCTCTCCCCCAAGAAACTTGGCCCGCAGTGCATGGCCAAGGGTGAAAGTGACAATGCTGAAGAGGGGCCTGTCTTACCCTGCTTCTGCTCCTCCAGGGAGCTGAGCATGCTTGTGGGCAGCAACGGTAGGTCCACGCTGACCTTCATCGTTTTGCTTCTTTGCCTTCCAGAAGGATTTGCCCCTGCCCCGGAAAAGCAGCAGGTGAGCCTTGGGGAGAGACGTGGCGGGGGCTGGCCGCCCCTTCTCCCGCCGGGGTGGGGGCGCCAGGCGCGTGCGCGGGCGGGGCCTGGCTCGCCCGCACACAGCAGCGCCCCCTCCCGGCCAGCTGCAGCCGCAGGGCCCTCCCCTTCCCTGCCCTCCCCTGCCCGCTGCGGCGGCTCCAGCCTCCGCCCCGCGCGCTTGCTCCCCGCGCCGCCGCCGCCGCCGCTGCCGCACCTGCCACCATGTCGCCGCCGCCGGGTCATGTCTGACTCTCTCTGGACCGCGCTTTCCAATTTCTCGATGCCCTCCTTCCCCGGCGGCAGTATGTTCCGCCGCACCAAGAGGTAGACCCCCGATCCCCTAGACACTGTCCCAGCCCTCCCCGCAAAAGCCTCCGCTCCGGGTGCTGCTGCAGGGCGGGGCCCGGGATGCTGCGCCCGGTACAGCTGCGCCAGAGGTGCCCGAGCTGCGCCTTCCCGCCGGGGATGGGGTTGAATGGGGGTGGTGTGGGCCGAGTCTGGGGGGACTGCACGCTGGAGAGGACGGCCGCGGGGGGAGGGGGCTGCGACACTGGGGGTTTGTGGCGCCTTTGTCTGCTGGAGCTGCGGGCTCCAACAGCCTGGTGGGGGTAGAGGAAGAAGGGGAGGCTGGGGGGCTTGGCACCCTCAGAACAATAGCCGCAGCCTGGCCTCCTCCCACCCCCATGCCGCGTGCTCCTGGACGCGCTAATATGCTCAGTCACTGCGGCTGTGGGTGAGGGGACGGACGGAGGGGCTTGGGGCTCCCTCTTCGGGAGTTGGGATGCTGAGGGGTAGAAAAAAGGGGGGGTTTATCATAACACAACCCCCCCCAGAACACAGCCTTACACTGAAAATAGTGACACACAGCGTCACACAGGACATGATGTCACACACACATACACACACAACAGCCCTAGTGGCCCAGATACACTGGGAGGTGCCACACATACCTAGCCTTGCAGCTGCCACAGGTTGGAACCATGCACAGACACACAGGGGCACCACGTCGTGTACACCTAGTAAGATGTCACTTGCATGGTGATCCACACACACAATTATGTCATCCAAGATGCACACATGTGTGGCAATATCCCATCCATGCATCCAACAATGTCACAACACACGATGTCATATCTAGGAATCTCACATACTGTGTCACACTGACATCAGCATAAACAGATGTAGGGATCTTACAGAGAGAGAACCACGCAAAATCACACGTTATCACATGCAATACTCACCTAGAGAATGTCATACGTGGTGACATGTTTGGGCATGGCCAGTGTCACAAGATGTTAAATTCACACAATAGATGCTACATACACATGGACACATATGGTGAATGTCACACCCAGACGGAAGGACAGTATCGGACACAGACTCAGAATGCCACACAAAGACATAGATACATGTAGAGGGGATCATGCATCCTGGCCAGGCATGGCAGCAGGCGCCTGTAGTCCCAGCTACTCAGGAGGGTGAAGCGGGAGGATAGCTTGAGCCCAGGAGTTTGAGGCTGCAGTGAGCTGCTGCACACTGAACTCCATCCTGGGCGACAGAGCGAGACATTGACTTAAAAGAAAAAAAAAAAAATGCAGCCTCCCTGTGTTACAGCACACATTATTATGGACAAGTGGCATTTCACACTGTGTCACATAGACACACAAATGCTCAAATTGTGTCACACAAGATAAACCCACGTTGTGTCACACATATCACGCTAGAATGCGTTCAGGGTCACACATTGTGGAATTCATACAGTGGATGCCACATGTGGATACCTACAGTGAATGTCCCGCATAGACCGAAACACACTATCACCAATAGTGTCACCTAGACACAGTGACTATCACACCATGACAGACACTGCCGTACACATAATCAACACTGGGAGTTTCTCACACACATGTCACATGCAAATCCCCTGCCATACACAGTCCTGCCGAAGCCTCCACCACCTTTTCCTTCGAGAAACCCTCCCAGGGAGCCTCCAAACACACATGGATGGGAGATAGGCGAGGATCTGAGACGGGAGGTCAGCTGGTGGGGCACAAGAACTCACTGGGCTGCGGCCCGGCCCGGCCCCCCTGCCTTGCCTTCCCCGCAGCTGCCGCACCAGTAACCGGAAAAGCCTCATCCTGACCAGCACTTCGCCCACGCTGCCGAGACCCCACTCCCCGCTGCCAGGTCACCTAGGTGAGACCAGTGGCAGAGACTTGGTGGGTGCGGAGTGGCCTACAGGAGGCGGGGCCTCGGGCGAGGAAGCGTGGTCATGCTACAGAAGGGGAGCAGTTTGAATGGAGGCGAACTGGTTTGGATAAGGGGCGGGGCCATGCTTGTGTGGGTGTGGTCAGTCGTAGAGGGACGGGCATTGGAGGGCGGAGACTCAGGTGGGCGGAGACTCAGGTGGGACGGAACAGAAAGGAGGAGTCGTACCTGAGGGGCGGGGCCATCCCAGATGAAGGCAGAATCTCCTTGGAAGGGGCCGGGCTGAGTTGGCAACGAAAAAATTTAAAGAGGCTGGGCCACAGGCGAAGGGGCGTGGTCTCCCCATAATAGGCGGGACTAGACTAAAGACAGGACATACTGCTGTTTGCACGCCGCTTTAGGGA